CCATAATATCTTGGATAATGATAAGAATTTGGAATTGTGAAATGAGCATCATTGGAATAATGTCCAATTGATCTGTTCACAAAGGAAGGACCATAGAGAGGCATAACATGCATGTTCATAACATGGCATGACTGATGTTTAATTCAAGTGGTTAGCTGATTACTCGAAACATTATATAATGAATAAATTCGTAATTATGTTGGTGATTAAATAATAGAGATCATTTATATTCAATAGTTTTGAGACCATAGTTAATTAGATTATTATTATGTTTCACTTTGCATGTTTTACTTCCTAAATGATTTGATTATTCTAAATTCCGCACTCGCTCATACTTTTGGAAGTAAGTAGTGAATTAAGACTGTCATGAATTGAATTGTAGATTAGTCATTGCAATGGTTGCTACAATATTCATGAGTACTTAGAAAATGGAGATTTTGAGTATTGGATAAAACCACGCTCAGAGAATTATTTCATGGATTATATCACGAGTAATTGTGAGACGATAATATCTTATATTCTTGAAATGGAGATATATGAGTTGTAGTTTACAAGTCGGTTGTGCATTGGTGTTACGAAAACACATCAGTAACGTGATGTTATAAAACGTAGAGTCATGCATGATTTGATGAGTAAAAGATACAAGCATATAATTCAAAGTTTATTCGTTACTTTTTCCCTAATGGGAAAAACGATATCTTTGGGCCCCTTGATGATTTGTTGTCGACATCTGAAGTGATTGGCCGAGCCCATACTTAATTGATGTGTTCAATTAGTAGTTTACATTCAGTCGTCATAAATCAGGAACTCAAGAAACAAAATATTGGACTATGAGATTGATTCTAATCCATGCCTCACGTCCATACGATATATTGTAAAACGAAGGAATATTTGATCACTTATCTAAGGACCAATATCTGATCGGATCAGAGTTCGACAGTTGTTTTGGAAAGCACACTTTTCTGTTTGATTTAGAAGTTATACATGTAATTTAGTTTTAGACTTATCCAAGTGGGAGACTGTTGGATTAGGTATCTAAGCCAATAACTAAATTAGTATAACCTTGAATTATTAGCAGAGTCATTTGGGTTGCCCTCAAACCTAGTAATTGATTGGAATGTTTTTTGAAGAGAGAGACTGATTTATTAATTTTATATATGATTAATAAATTAAATAGAAATCAAAATAAATAATTTATTAATATATTATGAGAGTAATATATTAACTATAAATAGTATTGTTTAATTAAGAATTAATCAGAAATTAATTGGAATTAGTTTTGGGATTAATTGGATTAATTAAAAGTAGAAGGACTAAAGGTGAAAATATTCAAAAGTTGAACATTAACCAATTCTAGAACCTCCCAAGAGGGGGCGGTTCTAGAGGAGGTTTCTAGATATATTCTTGGGCTCTAAGAAAGCTTAGAATGACTTAGGGAGGAAGCAATAGAGTACGGGTTATTTAAAAGGAACCTACCTTACATACAACCTTCCTAACACCTATATAAACCCCCAAGGGATTATTGTTTTCGTCACTTGCTTTTTAGAGAGCAACATGGCTGAAATTCTTCCTTCTTCTTCTCTCTCCTCTTTAGCTTCAAATTGCTAGGGTTTGTGTGTGAGCCATTAGAGGCACGAGAGTTCTGGTGCTTGATTTCTAAAGACCAATCAAGAAGGAATACTAGTTTATTTGCTATAATAAACTAAAAGTATGTAATTTCTAAATATCCCTTTCTTTATTTCGAAAATAGCAATGTACTGTTAGGGTTCTTGATATTCAACTGTTTGTTGCAAATCATAGTGAGAACACAGATCCTTTAAGTTGCATGTGAAATTAGAGTTTAAGTTTTTTTCCGCCAAAAATAGATTTTGGTAATTTATAAAACCCATCAAAATCTTCATATGCAAACTTGAAACCCTTATAAAATATCCCATGATATGTTCCATCTCTTAGCCATATTACTTATTAAAGTAGCGTACTTCTATCAACACTATATACTTGTTTTCACTTCATATATTTACTTGTATAAACATATCTATTTGTTATCTGTAACATCCGGATTCCAGGTATAATATTTTAAGTGTTTATTTTGAGATATGTGGAGTGACTCGACGAGTTGGTGCCTCAAATCGTCGAGTGGAGTCGCGACTGGTGACGCAGATTAATGAGCGGACTCAACGAGTCCGTGAGCTGACTCGCCGAGTCAGCGCTGCTGAAGGAAACCCTAATTTCTCGGGCTTGTGGCCTATTTAAAGGCCCTTATGGCCTCCCTTTGCGGCCACCTTCCCCAGAGAGAAACCCTAACCTGCCCTTTTCGTTGTAGAGAGAGAGACTATCTTGAGCATTCTTGAGCATTTTGGAGGAGAGATTGGAGGAGTTTGGTGGATCCATCCAAGAGGAGGCTGTGGATCTTGCATTCTTCTATCATTTGCTACTATTCAGAGGTAAAAAGCTCTCATTTTGGCCTCTTGTTCGTTAGATCTCATTTTTGGGGAGCTTTTAGGGTTTTCTCTCAAACATGTTGTATTCTTGATCTTTTTGAGCATGGTTTGAGGTTAGAACCTCAGATCTGGACTAGAGGGGACCTTGAGGGTCCAAAGATTTGAGCTTTATCGAGTTACAGGCAGGTCCCCATGCATGTGACCTTTCTCGGAGCTAGTGATGACATTTTGGAGCATGGATTCCGTGCATGGTCATCAAGATCGGACCTTTACGTGACTTTTGGGTATTAGGAGGCTAGATCTAGAGGTTGGAGTTGCAGATCTGACCTCAGAAGTCCATATGAGACATCCAGACGAGTCAACTCACCGAGTCCATGCGATGACTCGACGAGTCGGATCGGGTTGCCCCGCGATTCGTGACCCAGTGGTAACCCGTCGAGTTGGGAGGTTAACTCGACGAGCCGTGTGAGACACATAGAAGAATTCAGAGGATACAAGTGGACTCGGCGAGTCACCCGAGTGCACTCGGCGAGTCGGGTCAACTTTGGCGGTTGATTCATATTGAATTTCGTGTCTTGAGAGTAAGGCAGTAAGGAACATTGAGACCATGGAGGGTAAAATGGTATTTTACCCTCCTGTGAGCATAGAAGGGTTAGTCTAGCTTCTTGAGGGCCAATATTAATTAGGGATAATTATTATGTGTTAGGCGGAGGCTAGACCGGTGGGCAGAGTTCGAGATTTCCGAGTACGAGGTTTTCACTTGCTAGGTTACGAGGTGAGTCTTCTCACTATACTTACCTTGTGTGGTAATTTTATGTGTGACCAGAGGGTCTTATGTGAATGAGCTGTGTATCGAGATATCCTGTTGTTTGTTTTGTGATATGTTTACTGTGTATTATATTGAGCTGCTGTGTTGAGGGACCAGAGGGTCCATCTGAGTTGTGGGGCCGGAGGGTCCCACTGAGACACATTGACCGAAGGGTCTTATTGAGTTATAGCCTCGAGTGGCTGATGTGTTGTGTGTGGTATTTTGGGGAACTCACTAAGCTTTATGCTTACCGTGTTATGTTTTATGTGTTTCAGGTAGTTCCGAGGATCGCGGCAAGGTAACGACATGATTGTACACACTGACGGGAGATTGTTTTTATGATTCTAGGACTGTGTTTTACTTGTTGACATTTGAGACATATGTGATTTTGAGAATTATGAAATGAGTTTTATTGTGTTTGAAAATGAAAATTTTGTTGAAAATTTACGTCGTTACATTATCACCACTTGTATTTTGATTACTGGTTTTATGAAAATTTATATATTACAAAAAAAAAAAAAATCATATGTACCAAAAAAATACTAAAAAACACATAACATTGATCATATTCGACAGCGGCATAAAAAAAATATTTAAGTGAGTAATCAATCCATGAAACATTTAAATAAATAATCAAACATCTTGTTACCCAACACAAGGTCATCAACTTTTTTTTTTTTTTGGTGACAACAAGTAAATATAAAGGTCTATTTATATGAATTTCCAAAATGACTATTGTAGTGATGAGGATTGAGGATCATTTGATCAAACAATTAATTAATCAAAACTAATTTTGTCAAACATTGTAAAACTCCAAGAGGGTTAGGAAGTTACGAGGGAAAACTATAAAAAAACTGAAGACGAGGGGGTCTTATTGTAAATTGGGGTGATAGGAAGTAGAAGCAGTGAAAACAGAATCCCCACGAGAAGGGCATAATGGGGCAAAAAGAAATAGGAAGTCGTTAACACCTTCGTTTTGGTTGCTCCTCGTCGTTCGACAGAAAAGAGAAAAGAAACCCCAAAGACGTCGGAGTGAGATTCAGAGAATTACGTAGCATAAGAACCGACAATCTTAATGTAGGGATCGCCGGAAACGTTGCCGGAGGTCTTTTTTCCATTAATCTTGGTCCAATCACTGTTCTTAGCCTCTGCAACATTTCCCTAATCTTTATACACTATCCTCCATTAACATCCCCTTTCCCATGATTTCTACGTTGTTATTGATTCAATTACGATTTGATTAACACTAAGCAGACTTTGAGCTATCCGGATATTATTAGATCTTTGTATATTTACGTACATTGTCAAATTATCCAAGCAAGGAAACCTAGGGTGGTTTTGGCCGACCTTGCTGCTTTGAAGAGGGAAAATTAGGGTTTTTCTGTTTTGGATTTTGGTCATTTTCCGAAATGGTAAGGGTTTTTATTCATCATCGTCACCATCATTATTGCTTAATCTTATGTTGATGTTCCCCATGGCGTTCTAAGCTTTTGGATCATCAATCATGAGTATGAAAGCGTAATGACATTCCATAAGTTTGCATTGCATCGTATAAAGTCACTGATGTGCTAATCACTATTCTTCTAATTAATACTTGTGTTTGTTATGCATTCCCTTCTCCAGGTGTATATTGCATACTGCAATCAAAAGCTATACACACATTATTACCTAATGCTCACGAAATATATATAGACAGTTAATCTACTCAAGTAGATAAAAGAATGTGATTCCCTTATCAGAAAGCTTTTATCATGCAGGCTGTTGCATCCAATATAATAGTTGGATCTCAAGTTTGGGTTGAGGATCCTGAGATAGCTTGGATTGATGGTGATGTTGTGGAAATCAAAGGTGCAGATATTAAGATAAAGCTTTCATCAGGAAAAGATGTAAGTTTTTTTTTTTCTTGCAACATGTGTTCTCACACTGTTATAACAATGACATTTATAAAAACAAAATACTTGGAATGTTTTTTTCATGGTTTTCTTGATACATTTACATCTTGTAGGTTGTCACTACTTCAGCCCATGTACATCCTAAAGATCCTGAAGCTCCTCCATGTGGAGTAGATGATATGACAAAACTTGCTTATCTCCATGAGCCTGGTGTTCTTCAGAATTTAAAAAGTCGATACAATATGGATGAAATTTACGTAAGTATATATGTGTCAATTTAGTTATAAACAACCCTTTAAAACTTGTATATAAAATTTACCTATGTTCTTGTTTTCCAGACTTACACAGGCAATATATTGATAGCTGTGAACCCTTTCAAAAGATTACCTCATCTATATGACAAACATATGATGGAACAATACAAAGGGGCAGGTCTTGGGGAACTGAGTCCACATCCTTATGCTATTGCTGATTCTTCATACAGGCATGTAGTATATGCTTTCTTCTTACATGATTACATCTGTTATTCATATCCAAAAAATGTTGTATTCATGAATGAATGTCTTGTATGATTCACAGGCAAATGGTTAATGAGGGAATAAGTCAATCCATTCTTGTTAGTGGAGAAAGTGGAGCAGGAAAAACAGAAAGCACCAAAAATCTTATGCAGTATCTTGCATATATGGGAGGTCGCCCTCCAGCTCCAGGACAAAGGAGTGTGGAACAACAAGTTCTTGAATCAAATCCTGTTCTAGAAGCATTTGGGAATGCAAAAACTGTTAGAAACAACAATTCAAGTCGTTTTGGTAAGTTTGTGGAGATTCAATTCAATGAACGTGGGAAAATATCTGGAGCTGCTATAAGAACATATTTGCTGGAAAGATCACGTGTTTGTCAAGTTTCGGATCCTGAGAGAAATTACCATTGTTTTTACATGATCTGTGCTGCACCTACTGAGGTAAATGTAATTAGTTTAATTGTTGTTTTGATGTTTAGGAATTAATTTGTTCCATTTGTAATCAGTTTGTTATTGCATCATTTCAGGTGACTGAAAAGTATAAATTGGGAAAGGCTAAGTCATTTCATTACCTTAATCAAACAAATTGTTTTGAATTGACTGGAGTGGATGAGGCTAAAGAGTATATTGCTACAAGAAAGGCTATGGATGTTGTTGGTATCACTCATGATGAACAGGTACTAATATATTTTGTTTAATATTCATAAAGTCACCTGCTTAAAAAACCTTAAAAAACATTAAGTAAATATTTCTTTGTTCTTATAGGAGGCGATATTCCGTATTGTGGCTGCAATTCTCCATTTAGGAAATATTGAGTTTACTAAAGGCAACGAACCAGATTCATCTAAACCTAAAGACGATCAATCTAAGCTTCATATGAAAACTGCAGCTGAACTTTTCAAGTAACTAGTTTTTCCTTTTTTTTCCCTTATTTAGTTTGTTTTAGTTGCATACAAAATATGTTCATTATATATCTCAATGTATGTCGTAATAGGTGTGATTTAGAGGCCCTTGAAGATTCCTTCTGCAAGCGTGTAATTGTAACGCGTGATGAGAGCATAAAAAAGTCTCTTGATCCAATTGCTGCAGCTGTGAATAGAGATGCTTTGGCAAAAATTGTTTATTCAAGGCTATTTGACTGGTATGCTTCATCTGAATGGATGATTGTTATTGTATAATAATCATGTTCTTTAATTTTTGTGGTCTGGTTTATAGCACATGTATATTGTGTGAATCAGGATTGTAGGAAGGATTAATGAGTCAATTGGTCAAGATCCCGAGTCAAAATCCTTGATTGGAGTTCTGGACATCTATGGATTCGAAAGTTTCAAGACAAACAGGTGCTTAACTGGTACGCTTTTGTTTTCATCATATGAACAGGTTATTTCTTGCAGACCACTGCATGAAAAGCCTTTGGTTTTCATAGAAGTTTCTAGATAACTCGTGTTGAGTAATTTGATTAACATCCAGTTAGTAAGGGGTCATTTTATTAGTCAGGTTTTATCTTAATAGATTAGAATAGGCTTAGGGTTAGTTTAGTAACAAGATCTTCTCAAACAATGATAACAGATTATACAAGTTCCTTTTTAGTGTCAACCGAATGATTCAAAGGAGAATCTTGGCACCAAACAACTTTCAAGCATTCTGGAGACATTCTCTGATGTAAGATGAGAAGAAAGTCGTAGAAAAGTCCTGATGGGAACTTCACAAAACACAACTAATGATCAGTCTGTGTTGCCCACATGCTTTCCAAACTCCAAACAAATGATAAACAATGTTACCATAATTAATAAAAGTAGATGCCCCTCATGTGATCTGTACATGAAAGGGACACACCACGAAAACATTTTGGAAGATTCATTGTAACCGAATGACTGAACTTGCTTGAATATCATCTCGTAACCACTAAACCTTTTAGATAGAAAAAAATTGAATCCCTCAGACAAATTCTTGACAACATAATAAGATCAAGATCCTTCTCAGAGAAAAGAACCTTAATCGTCCACCTGTGTTTCGAGAAACAGGGAATTTTCCAATAAACCAGTCAAAGACTTTTATTCAATGCATAAAAAAATAAACAACCCTATGGAGCATTATTTATAATGTCCTGCTAATCCTATTTAGATATCAAAACCGAATCCTAGATTATAGGAATTCTAAACTGAAAACAAAACTAATATTCTGATTACAAGGAAAACTAAATAAAATGAAACAATTAAAATCTCTCTTGAATCCTGATGCCTATCTCCTGCGAAGATAGACCTGACCAAAACGGCCACGGGTCGTATCACAACACTTCACAAGAAAAATCCTACTTTGTTTTACTAGAAAAATTTATAGCTATCCAAGCATCCATGACACTCTCTTAGACCCCTTCCCTATACAAGAATTACTTGCCTAAACCGAGTGGACTATGGCAGTGATGAATGAGGTTAAAGATCTTGAAGTAAATAAGACTTGAGACTATACAGTGCTACCTAATGAAAAACGAATAGTAGGCCACATATGGATGTTCTCAATTAAATATAACACCAACTATAGTGTTAATTGATATAATTATGCCTAAACGTTTGGTCATGCGGCAAAGTTTAACTCCAATATGGTATTAGTATCTCTTGTTGCAAAATCGAATTGATCGACCACATTACCAACATGATGTTAAAAATCCATTTTCAATGGAGAATTAGAAGAGGAGGCCTACATGGATTTCCCTATGGGACTTGAAATACCAAGGAACCAAGACCATGTATGCAAGTTACAAAAGTCAAGTTATGGGATCAAATGGTCTCAAGGATCCTGATTCAAAAAACTCACATAGGTGATCAAGAGGCACGTGTACAACAGGAGCATCTTGATCATAAAATATTTTCCAACACTCATATGATGGACATAACGCAATTATGGTTGTTTATGTTGATGACATCATCCTGACCGACAACTACTCGTAAGAACTTGATAAATGGAAATCCATCTTAGGAAAGAAATTTGAAATTAAAGATCTTAGTCAGTTAAGGTATTTTCTCGGGATGGAGATTGTAAGGTCTAGGCATGGAATGTTATTATCACAAAGGAAATACACGATTTGACTTATTGAGGGAAATCAGCCTACTAAGATGTAAACCTGCCGAAATACCAAAGGAAATACATGTTTGACTTATTGGTGGATAAAGGGAGATGCCAACGACTAGTCAACAACTTAATCCATTTGTCCCATATGAGACCGGGTATCGTTTTTGTAGTGGGCATTGTCAACAAATTTTCATGTGGCCAATATCCTCACCAAAGCTCTATCAAGAATCAAGTTCAATACTATGAAGAGAAAGCTAGATATATTTGATCTATATATCCATCTTGAGGGGGAGTGTGGGATCATTTATAGAATTTTGTTTTGAGTAATTTGATTTTTTCCAGCTAGTTTGAAGTCATTTTATTAACTAGGTTTGATCTTTAGAGATAAGCATAGACTTAGGATAAGTCCTTATTTTTTAATTAGGAGTTTAGTAGCTATAAATAGATGACTTCCTAATGTATCCTATAAATAATTTTGTATTTAGAAAATACAAGATCCTGACTGTGTATATGTGGCAGAGCTTAACAAATATTATTCATTAATAAATCCGTACATGGAACTCATATTTCTTTTTCTCTAACAACTCCTAAGTTTAATTTCTGACCTATCATGTTATATATCCTGCTGACTGTGTATCTATGGCAGAGCAATACAAATATTTTTCTGATGTAATATTTTCTTGCTGGATTTATCAGCTGATGTTTTTGAATACTATTTTAACTCAATTAATAATGACCCAATGCAGTTTTGAGCAATTTTGTATCAATCTGACTAATGAGAAACTTCAGCAACATTTTAATCAGGTTTGCCAAATAAAATAAAAAATATTAGTTATTCAAAGGAGATGTTAATATTATGAAGCAACCATATTAATCTGATATGATTTTGGGTGTATCAATTTCATTTCATCAGCATGTTTTTAAGATGGAGCAAGAAGAATATACCAAAGAGCAAATCGATTGGAGTTACATAGAGTTTGTGGACAATCAAGATATTTTAGATCTCATTGAGAAGGTTTAATTTAGTAGAACTTTAATATTGGATTATACTTTGAGAATTTTACTGTTATTCTAACTGAGTTTTTGATTGCTTTAGAAACCTGGAGGAATCCTTGCTCTTTTGGATGAGGCTTGGTATGTAGACATTTTTGTGTATATATATATATATATATATATATATATATATATATATATATATATATATATATATATATATATATATATATTACTGTTTATTGTATTCTTTACATTTCTAGAATTAACCTTTAAATGTGTAATTCATATGCAGCATGTTTCCAAGATCTACACATGAAACGTTTGCTGAAAAGCTTTACCAAACATTCAAGGATAATAAACGTTTTCAAAAGCCAAAGCTTTCTAATTCAGCATTTACCATTGACCATTATGCTGGTGAGGTATGTATTTTTACTTCCCTTTATTCAACATGGTGATATCAATAATTAATAAGTTTTTCTTATATCTTTTTAATTTTTTTGTTTTGATTTCAGGTCACATATCAAACCGAGTTTTTCTTGGATAAAAACAAGGACTATGTTGTTGCAGAACAACAAGCACTTTTAAGTGCTTCAAAGTGCACCTTTGTGTCAAATTTATTCCCACCTCTAACAGAAGAGTCATCCAAAACATCAAAGTTTTCATCAATAGGTTCACGGTTCAAGGTATAATTTTCTTAATTTTAGGGGAGTTTGTTTCAGTGGATCAGTTTAAACTCATCCAATCAAGTGATTAAAATCGATTTCCGTTTTCAAAAATTGGATCCAAATAGTTCAAACTAAATTAAACTCTGATCTAAACCAACCAAATTACAATTCGACTGGATTAATTTTCACAGATTCTGTTTTGAAGACTAAGAGACATTCCAAACAGTGTTAACATAATATTTTTCTATACTTATTTTTACTTTAAAAATATCTCTTACTTTTTCTGTTTATTTATCTAGTAACTTCCTGAATAATTAAAATTTACCAAATATTCAAACAACTGATTATTTGGTTTTTGAAATTATACATAATTAAAATATTTAAAATATATTTATATAAATAAATCTGATATTCAGTTTTTTGGACTCTTCGGTTCTCATTTTGGTAACCAAAAGCAATCTGAAATCCAAAATATTTAGTCAGTTTTGGCCCAAACTAATCCAGAAATCCAAATATCATCTAATCCAAATTGTCCAATTGTACAATTCCTTTTTATCCGAATAGTGAACAACCCTATTTAATTTACTTAATACACCAATCTACTTCTTTCTGTTCAGTTTAATTTCTAATGTGAAATATTTGCAGTCACAATTAACACAATTGCTTGAGACACTGAGTCACACGGAGCCACATTACATTCGTTGTGTGAAACCCAACAATCTTTTAAAGCCTTCTATCTTCGAGAATCAAAACATACTTCAGCAACTACGTTGTGGTGTAAGTTACCACCTATGATCTATAATCTATCATATGCATACATGTTCAGAAAGTGATCATTTATGACATTACAGGGAGTTATGGAGGCAATTAGGATCAGTATGGCTGGATTTCCTACTCGCAAACCTTTTAAAGAATTTATTAGCCGCTTCAAAATATTTGCACCTGAAATTGCAAAAAAAAGGTACTTGTATAGTTGTATAAACTTTTTTTCTAAATATCGTTCCTTTTTTAGTATTTATTATATTAATTTGCATGTCATCCTATAGTGATGATGATATCAAGACTTCGAAGTTGCTTATAGAGAAGGCAAATCTTCAAGGTTATCAGGTACCTTACCCTCCTTTTTCATGAGGCCCACATATGACAACAAATGAGTTAATCATTTATTTATCCTATCTTGTGTTATTTAAAAGTTTTTACTTAGGTAATAATACACAACACAGTATACAACGAATTAGACCATTAAAAATGTCCTGTTAATATGTTTGAAATGAGATCAATATTGAATATTATTGATATTAATTGGGAAAATTGCAGAAAAGAGCCATGTAATTTACTATCATTACGAATGTCGAGAATATATTTAATTTTTACCGATAATAGCAATGTACTTACATTTCTTTAACCATAATAGTAATGCGCTTTCATATATTTACCAATAATATCACTGTACTTTCATTTATTTACCCAAAGTAGCAATATGTAACTTGACACTTTTAAATAGCTTATAGTTGTTAGACTACATACTATATTTTATCGTTAATATTAGTAATGAAGTTTAAGCACATTGATATTACAAGGATAGGAATATAAGTATGCTGCTATTATATAAATAAAGTAATTTTATAAGTTTCATATTACATATTGCTATTATTGGCTTAGAAATGTAAGTACGTTGCTACTATGGATAAAAATAAGGTACATTGCCTATATTGATAACGAAAAGAAAGTACCTTGCTATTTCCTGCAATTTTCCCATATTAATTTCATTTTTAATTTTATAAAAAAAGTAAAGATGTTTTGTGAAAATTTTATTTATAAAATGAAAAAAATAAAACTGGTCCCATGTACTAGTATAAAAAAACTAATTGTTATAATTAGGTAAAAATATTTTTGTTTTTTGTTGCATGAAATAATCTAAAAATATATAGATTAAATAAATAAATAAGTTAGTTGGGACCTATTTATAAACTTTTAAAATATTTATGGCCATTGTTATAGTTTATGTGTTCTTAATTTGACATGACATGACAATATTTTTGCAGATTGGTAAAACAAAAGTATTTCTGAGAGCTGGTCAAATGGCAGAACTAGATGCTCGAAGAAGTGAGGTTTTGGGAAGATCTGCAAGCAAAGTCCAGAGAAAATTTCTTACCCATTCTGCACAAAAGAAGTACAACTCATTAAAACAATCATCAATACATATACAAGCTGTGTGTAGAGGTATTAACCGGTGTCTCATCCGTATATGTTAAAATAAGAACTTGAATGTTTAACCTTAATAAAGTAAATGTTTTTAATAAATAACTTCAGGACAAATTGGACGCAACCGTTATGAGAACAGAAGGAGAGACGTTGCTTCTGTTAAACTTCAGAAAGATGGACGCATGTTTATTAAGAGGAAAGCTTACAAAACTTTATCCGCTTCAGCTATTAATATTCAAAGTGCAATACGTGGAATGGCTGCACGTAATGAATATCGAAATAAAAAGACAGAAGACGCAGCAATTATTCTTCAGGTATTTTGGAATTCGTACCATGACTATCAAATCTTTACTTTTTTTCCCTTTTCTTTTGTATTAGGCTTAAAATGAGGCTTGTTAAAATTATAAATGCATACTAACCCCTAGTGTTTTATAGCATCATCTACATTTGGCCACATGATCAACAAATAAGGAAACAATATTGTGACTCTAATATACATTCATGTACGTGAAATCAAGAAATTAAATAACCATTACCTAATCTAGAAGGATTTACAATCTCTATTCTAATTTACAGGGATATATGATCTTTATATTAGGAAATAAAATAAGCTTGGATTAAAGTAAGAAAAGTCTAGTTAGCTAAAAAATGTATGAATAGCAACATACTTTAGTTTATCTGTCTATTATAGCGTCCTAATGTAATTTATTTCTATTACATACAACATTATTCTTATTAAGGCGTTGTACATTGGAAAATCTACCCAATTATAACATTGTAATTTTTATTATTAGGAATTGTACTTTCAAAGATCTACCTAGTTTATATGGGTTTGGGTTTGGACTAAGAAAGGCCAACACATTGTAAAAGTTCCAAGATGTATTTTCTTTAGGAAAGTATAACATTTTAGCTGTAAGGGAGTTTGTAGGTAAGGGTGAAGATTGTGTTTGATTTATTATAAAGGGGGAGTTGTCTTCAGCAAAGTGATATGGAAAACAATGTAAAGTTGCTTCGTAGATAAGTCAAAACAATGCTAGCCATGATGTGAAGGACTATACCCGAGAAAGATAGATGAGGCGGATCAAAAATCCATCTTGTGGCGATTATATGACCGAAGATGGGGAAAGCAGTGATATATGAATAACCAAAGAAACGAGTAGACTGGGCCGATTAAAGAGATGTTCAAAGGGTGACTTGGGTGTCGATGTACGAGACGACATGTAATTGAGAAAGACGGTTGTATGAAAGACATGATGCCAAAAACGCCGAGGGACATTCAACGAGTAGTGTGAGGCCCGTTTCAATGACGTATCAATGACAGTATTCAACAAATACATTTTTCTCATTTGTATGAGGACAAGATCATTGGTGAACAATTCCAAGAGATGAGAAACAAGAGGGGAGATGGCGTAATTCAACCCTCGCCCAAATCAGTTTGAACTTTTACATTTGGTTGTGAATTGGCATTCAACCATTGTAATAAAGAGTCTGAAAGTGTTATAGACATCTGATTTTTAAGCGATTGGAAAAATCCACATGTATTGAGAATGATGATCAACACATAACATAAAGCATAAATGACCATCAAAAGATAAAAATAGGTTCATGGCCCCAAACGTTACAATACATCAAATGTAAAATTTATTGCTTCGAAAAGAAGAAACATGTAAAGAAAGTTTTCACAACTTTCCTATTTGGAAAGAGATATAAAAAATGGATGCCAAGACGCAAGTGCCAGAGAGTACAAGATGCATGAACAACAGAAAAACAACTTTGTTGATGGAATGAAGCTGAGGAAGATAAAGTGAATAGAAACCATGTTCACCAGGCCCGTGAGTAAAGTAGAGCATGTAGAGTCATCCTTCAAAACAAAAAAAGTTAAATGAACTTCAAAAAAGTCATGATTATCAAGACCTTTTGTTTTAAACAAAAAGAAGATTTTTGGTGATTTCGGTTATGTGAAGAATAATAAGAGACGAAAGGTTTTGTGTGGTGAGTGAAATTTTAAGGAACCAATATAAAATATAGGAAGTCCCTTACCATCACCAACATGGAGAGTGATGCGAGTGATCCATGCTTGCCAAGTCAGGCGTGACATGGCTGTTTTCTCTGGTGTCCGACAATCAAGTCGTAGAGGCATGACTATCAACAACATTAGAAGTGGGATTGGTACGAATAGTAGAAGGGTCACTATAGGGGCACTATGATATGCCTAAAGCCATAAATATTGCAAGTACCATAAACTGTGTTTTGATTGGAGACCCAACTGAATTGCTGACCATCACCTCGGCCCCAATTTTTTTCCTCGAGGGTTTCCACGTCTGTGATTACCATGTTTGTTGTTGCTAGGTTGTTGATAGCCATAGGAAGCTTGAAGGGTGAAGGGTGCTAATCCAGAGGGCATTGTAGGCACTAACTAAAAACCAAGGACGGACGCAATAAGACCTAGTTGGCTAGTTGAGAAGCCATAAAGAAGAAGGATCCAAGAGAGTCACAATGATTGTTTCTAGTGGTATGAAAAGCTTGGATGGTAGATGTGGAGGAAGCATGGGTTTTTCTAAACGTGTAATCATGATTGTTGAATAGGGCTTGTAGTTTATTAAATGCAATATGGAATTGCCGCGCAATGTTGGTGGATTTGAGATTGTTGTATTCTTCCCGAAGACCACAGATGGTAAACACAACTAGATCTTATCCTTTAATAAGCAAACCAATAGCAACAAGTAGATCAACATATTTTGGTACATGATTTACATAGGCGTCGATTTTTAATTCCCCATTCATTTCAAGGTATATTCTCTGGAAGATGAATGAGGTTCATATGTTCGTTCTAAGGATAACCAAAGATCTCAAGCAGCTACACTATTGACATGACAGAAGGAGGCTTCAAAGATGGTTGAAATAATCAACATATGAACATATGCATCATTGGATATGCTTTGGGATAACAACGACATCCGTAGGTGTGAGGTGTTTAGGTGGACAAGGAATTGATTCACCCGCATAGCCAAATAAATTGTGTGTGAGAAGGGGTGAATCATTGCCTTCGAGTAACCATAGTTGGTTGGGCTAAGTGTAATGGAGAACTTGCGGGAGTTTTGGGAGGTTTTCTTTGTTATGGTGAAATTGTCGAGTAGGGCCATCACTATTGGCTAAAGAATGATGAACAATACGATGAAAGGTGTCAGCATGAACAATACCCCTTAGATTTTTAGGTTGCCTTGGCGGTGGTTTTTGTTGTGAGCGGTAGCGATAAACCCTAGGCTTTGATACCATAATGAACCCACAATATCTTGTATATTGATCGTATGATATGAGGTAGATACATATCTCTATATATAGAGAGAGATAAATATTACAAATAGGTATCCTCTAGATTAGGATAATTATAAACTTAACTAAACTATACTAGTAGGATGCTATAATAAACAATTAAATAAAAGTATGTTGCTATTTCATGCTTTTAACACTTGTAATTAATTATCCCTACAATAGGCTTTTATTTGCGATCACCTCAACCGTGAATGTCAGCGTTTGTACATAAGTTATTATTGAAGTATATGATAATTTTTTTTTATGATAATAGCTTATTTAAATGATGCACAATCTATGGTAACTTTCAGAGACAATGTCGACAATATGTGGCCCGCGTCCGTTATTGTAAACTGAGGAAAGCAGCAATAAAGACTCAGTCTTTCTGGAGATCAAGACTTGCAAGGAAAGAACTAAGGAAACTTAAAATGGTAACCATCTTTCATTTTTTCTAAATCCTAATTTAATTTATTTTTTGCAAGCTTATAAACACTTTCTCCTCTGCAGGCTGCAAAGGAAACTGGTGCTCTACAAGAAGCCAAAACTAAACTCGAAAAGGAAGTAGAAGAGCTGACCTGGCGATTACAAGTGGAGAAGCGCATTAGAGTAACTACCATTTTGAGTAGATTACAGAAAATATGGGATGAACTTATCTGTTGTTTTTCTTATCATTTCATTTACTTTTTTGTAGTCCGATTTGGAGGAAAGTAAACATCAGGAACATGCGAAATTTGAGAATGCTTTAAAAGAAATGGAAGCTCAATCTCAACAAACACAAGAACTGCTTTCGAAGGAACGAGAAGCTGCAAAGATGGAACTTGAAAAATCTCGTGAAGTTGATGGAGCTTCAAACAAGGAGGTAGTCGATAAGCTTACTACTGAAAATCAAGAACTCAAGGTAGATTTTTATCAAGTCATACAAATTAATTTTCTAGTTTTATAAATGTGCACTGATCACCAGAAATTCTTGATTTCTTGTTTGGGAAAAATGCAGGGCACAGTAAGTTCACTGGAACAGAAAGTTGATGAAATAGAAAAGAAGTATGAAGAGAGCAACAAATTAAGTGAAGAGAGATTAAAGCAGGCAACAGAAGCGGAAGAAAGGATAATTGAGATGAAACTCACAGTGCAAAGGTTATTATAGCAATATACTTTGACTATGTTTGACTATCTGAAGCTAAAGTAGTAACTAATTTCTTGCTTTAGTCTTCAAGAAAAAATAATCGAGATGGAGGCTGAGGAGCAGATTATGAGACGAAGACTAATGAATTCATCAAATTCGAAAAGGATGTCGGGACGTTTTTCATTCTCATCTAAGGTTAATTAACATGCCACAGTGTATAATTTAACAACCTTATTTATACTTTTTGTAAAAATATTTATCTTATTTTATTTATCATAACCTTTCAGGGTCCAGAGAACGGTAACCTTGTAAGTCTGAAGATACAATCTTTTTTAACTTTCCTAAAGGTGTCTTATATGCATTACTTAGCTTATTTAAAGGACAATTCTGTCATTTACAGGAAAGTGGAACACCTATGAAGAGATTTGATAGTTCATTGAGGCAATCAGCTATTGACAAGCAGCGTGTATGTGTCTCAGTAACATAACATAACCGAGATTTTTTATAAAATAACATGAGTAAATTTTTATGCTTCTGTATATATATGGTACAGGAAAATGTTGATATTCTTATCAAAGTATCTACAGAAGATCTTGGGTTCAGTAATGGAAAACCAGTCGTCACATATATCATATACAAAAGTCTTATCCACTGGAAACTTTTTGAACAAGAAAAAACTAATGTATTTGACCGACTTATCACCGTGTTTGGTTCTGCAATACAGGTGAGATGTTACAAGGAACACATAAACATGTTTCTCCAAAATGCGGAAATCTTGACAGTTGTTGCCTTTGCTTATATACTTATATTGGGGTTCCTGTTGGGAAATTGGTCTCAAAGATTCCAAACAACTCGCCCAATGACAAATAATAGAGAAAATTCGAAAAGAATAATATACTTGGAAAACTCCAAAACATGAGACAAATGTTATGAACTGGACTTATAAGAACAAATTCAATAACAACAATTCAACTAAAAGCTTCAAATACTGATTGATAACCTCAAATTTACCCAAAAGATTACAAGAACAAATGATAGGTTAGCTGATTCGAGATAGCTACTCTCCCAAGGAATAAATTCCAGATTCACAAAATATTGATGGATACCTCACTCTCCCTTTCCACTACCCTCTTATACTATCTGACATAACAAACTAACAATATGAAATGCCCAAAATACCCCTAATTCTCCTTGCACTAGTAAGATGCTCTTTATTTGTTGATTTCCCAAACTACCCCTATCTAAAATAACATGATATAGTGGATGCGTAACAATATCCCGCCCTCGAAGAACCACCTTGTCCTCAAGGTGGATAAAAACGATGTATAGCATCCTAATTCTTCCAGTTGGTCTTTTTATCTTATCCTCATCCTTATACTGATCTGCAGTCGAGATACTTATTCCACCCACTTGCTCATCTATCCCCAAGTTCATCTTAACAGATTCATCAGTCTTCCCATTTTCATTAATAATCAAACACGGGGGCAAGTACCCGTCACTAGAACCATCAGCCTTCTTGAACTTGACTAGAGCCTTAGCAATACCCCATCCCAAAATATGCACCTTGTCCTCAAGGTGAAAGGAAAAAACATAAGGCACAGTTATGAATTCTTCCCAAGTAACTTTCAATATAAGCTTGCCCTTCCACTGTATAATGACTTCTAATTGACTCTCTTTTGATTCTTTAACCTCACTACAGCTGCCCTCCTCCATAAATTCAGAGTGAGAAGTTCTCCCCGGTGCAGAATTCCTCTCATTAGATATCACCACAGCTTCTCCATCTTTCTTGTTTTCAGCAATCTTGCCGAACATTTCAATGTGTTTCTTCCTGATGACTTGCAGAATCTTGTTCCGGTGTAGTCTTTCCTGGGAATTGTTGTCTGGTAAGTCATAGGAATCCACAACATTCCCCGAGGGACCAAGATATTTCTGCATCAGTTCATTGCAAGCGTTCATAATGAACACCCTTCTCACGTTCGACTTGATGTTGTTCATCTTCTTGCCTGTGTCAAAAGGATCAAACATAGCTCTCTTTAGAACAACTAACTTCCAATTGTTATGATCCCACATCGGCCGAAAGTACTATAAGTTGGTGGCTTATAAGTCTAGGTGTCCCCTCCTCCTACAAGTTGGCTTTTGGGAGTGAGTTCTACACTTGGGCTTATGGCATGATACGGGCCTAGTATGGGATGGGTCCGTATCAACAAACCACAAGCCTCCAAAGAAAACAATTCACTATACAATAAATCATTACAATCACATAGACGAATTTCTCAAGCCAATCCCTCTAATTACACCCACACTCTCCGAACATTAACTCACACTTTTCTACATTTTAAAACAAAAGAAGAAAAGAAAATAGTCAAATACTCCAAGTGTATTTGTTTGGGGCATTTTGAGGCATTTACTTATTATTTCTAACTGTTACTGAATCAACTTCCATGTTGTCTCTGCATTGTCTTTCCCAGAAAGAGGAAGACAATAAGCATATGTCTTATTGGCTCTCTGCCACATCTTCATTGCTGTTTTTGCTTCAGAAGACTTTAAGTTCTGGCGCAGGTGCTCACAGGCCTCCTCAGCCAACATCAATATTTGGAAGAATGGCACAAGTACTGAGTTATACTTAACCATTTTATTCATAAATGATTTTTATTATGAACTTTTTAATAATTGCAATGGAGCTTATAAACCATTTTGTAATTGATATTTTCTAGAGTTTTCGCAAATCCCCGTCATATTCGGACCTTGAAATAGTGCGCCATGTAGATGCAAAGTACCCAGCTTTACTTTTCAAGCAACAACTAACTGCTTATGTTGAAAAAATATACGGAATCGTTCGTGACAATCTGAAGAAGGAATTGTCAACTCATCTCAGATATTTTATTGAGGTAACGTTAGTGGTTTTGTTTAAATTGTGGATCAGTTGTTTGAAATTATAATGCATTTCTGTATTAAATGGCAAGTGATAGTGCTGATTTTATATGTTTCTAACAATAACAGACAGGAAAATCGTCAGATGAGCACATTCCTCCATCTCTTCGTTGGCAAAACATCATTGAATGCCTAAATGGCATGTTACATACTTTGGAAGAATACAACGTATGTGATCTTATTATTATTATTTTTTTAATAATGTTATTATTCATGTTTTGATCCCATCAAACATGATTATCTCAGGTTCCAAGTGTTCTTGATCAGAAGATTTTCGCTCAAGTTTTCTTTTACATCAATGTACAACTATTCAACAGGTAGAGCTGATAGTTACCTGCTCTTGATAGCAACTCGTTCATCTTCCAATTCTAATATCTTTAAAATTCTGTCATCTATGAATACTATGAATCTAAGTATCCAGTTTAACCTATTTTATCATCTAATAATTTATAAGCGTTTTTTATATGGAACCTTAGCCTTCTTCTACGTAAAGAAAAATGCACCTTCAGTCACGGGGAATATGTGAAAGCAGGGTTAGCTGAGTTAGAGCTTTGGTGTAATCATGTCACAGAAGAGGTATTCATTAGGTTAGACACTTTCTATATTTATTGAATATAGAGTTCGTGGTTCTAACTAACTAATTCCACTAAATCAGTACTCAGACTCGGCATGGGATGAACTTAAGCATGTAAGGCAGGCAGTTGGATTCTTGGTATGTTTCTACATATTGTTCCTTAGAAACCACTACAAATGCAAACTTAATGATATGTACTTTTTTTCTAAATTTCAATTTCCTTCCTATCATAATTCTGTGAATTTAAACTTTTTTTATTATTGGTATGCTTTCTACTCCTTATTATGATAGGCAGTATAACTTCCTTTAGGCCCCGTTTGTAACTAGAGGACATAACATAACAGGTTGTCTTGTGTTCGGCGTACACTGGACTGAGACTGGTATTGATGTCAAAGGGACAAAAACTGCAACTTTTTGTCCCACCAAAAGAGGTTTGATAGGGACTCTTTGTTGGTCTTTCGTTTGTGCAAATGACGTGAATGACCTCCTCATCTTCGTCATGGAAAATTGCCATAATAAGCAAATGACGGGATTGGAAAAGTTTTCTAGGTCTATTTTCCATGATGAGGAAGAGGAGGGCATTCACATGATTTTCACAAACGAGAGACCAACAGAGAGTCCCATTGACATTAATCTTTTTGGGTGGGACAAATAGTTGTATCGTTTGTCCCATTGACATTAATCTTAGTCTTAGTCCAATGCATGCCAAACTCAGTACAAGTCTGAGTCCAGTACAACATATCAAATGCTGCTTTAGTGAATGTGAAAAACATCATCTTTTGATGTTTATGCAACTTATCATCGTATTTGAAAGTTCACCATTTACATTCTGCAGGTCATACACCAAAAGTCCAGAATTACCTACAATGACCTCACAAATGATCTATGCTCTGTAAGTCTCCCCTTGTTCTTGTTGCTGATTATATGTTCATGTATGATTTGACTAAGTATCTATATGACATTTTCTTTATTTTTCGGGAATAAACAAGTGATGCATTTTGTTTCAGGTTTTAAATATTTATCAAATTCACAGAATTTGCACACACTACTGGGATGACAATTACCATACTCCAGGCGTAGATGCCTCAGTAAGAATAAAACTATAAAACTCATTTATCATTTTGCTTTTATGTTTTGTTCTTGATGACCCTTCATCACCCTCTAACCTGTATACAGGTTATTACTGCCTTACATAATAAAATAGAAGAGGAAGAGGAAAAGCAAAAGAAAATGTCACATGATAAAAATAACTCCTATGAAGATTCAGATGAACATAACTCCTTTTTGCTGAATGACGATCCCAGGTAAGCAATAAAACACACTATACTGTAGATACACATATTGTTGAACACATTATGCCGCAAGGGTTAAAAAACAAAGGAGGGTTCTGGAGTTTGGATTCCAATATAGATTGGGACCTAATTCGAATTCCAATTCCAATGTGCACTGGGATTTTATGGAAAGTTTTATATGATGATGTTAAACAAGTGTGATTGAACTGCTGTTTTTCATGTATGCAGCATACCGTTTTCAGTTGATGATCTTATGGGCTTCTTCCATGAGAAGGATTTTGCAGAGATTAAACCTACTATTCCCCTCGTAGAAAATCCAGAATTCAAATTTTTAGTGGAGTAATGCTGCCATAATGTACATCCACCTATTGCTCAATTTTTTTTCATAGATGTAGGTAGATTATTCTTTATTGTTTAAGCATCCACTGCCCTGGGTGTAAAGCATCCTTAATTTTAGGTTAGATCTGTAAAATCCGTAGGTCTTTTCAGGTAGAGTATAGAAGGGGAGTGATGCATTTTGACCTATGGTAACTTTATTAATTTATTCTATGAGATTAGGTTTGTTTGTTTGTTTTTTTTTTTTTTTTTTTTTTTTTTTAGCGGGAAGAGTAACTATTTAACTATCCAAATCCCCATCAAGATTAGAAAAGAAGTCTATATATTTGATGAAGCGTAAAAAGTGTTTTATGATGTGTTTGTTACATATGGCACTTGACTGCATTTAACTTAACTTGTAAAAAGTTCTTTATGATGTGTTTGTTACATATGGCACTTTACTACAATGAACTTAACTTAACAAACTTTTTAGGTTATTTTCGATAATATCACAAGTTGGAATAATACATGTGGATTCAACCAACTTTCTTTGTTCCTAAACTACTTGAATCGGTGAATTGATAATGTACTATTTTAGTTATGACATCAAACAAATTCATACAACCCAATTTCAATTATTATCAACCAAAGATCATCAACTAAAGCATAAAACAATAATCAAAATTAGCTAGAATCAAGTAATAATTGAGTGTGTTCATCCAAAAGTCATAAACATCCCTAGAAGTAACCCTAATGGTTTAGCCTTCCATTGAGTTCATAAAACCAATAACTTGAAGAAAAACAATGAATTACATACTAGAACCCGTAAACAAACTTGAAATCATCAAATAAATGTAGCCTAATGATTAACAAGTATAATACAATGAACCTTTAGGAAGAAATCGTGAAATCTAGAATTTAATGGAATTGATTAAGAATCGCCGGTTGAATGATCTTCAAACGTTGCTTGATGATGAATTCGATGAAATCTTGCCTTGAATCCGGATTGGAATGGAAATGAAAGGTGTTTGGAAATGTTTCTAAGGGTTTGGAAACCTCAAAAACGTAGGTAAAAGCTTTGAATTTCGGAAGTGCAAACCCTAAAAGCATCTGCATAGGTCCCTACTTATACTGTGTGGAAAAAATAAGAAACATCGGCCAATGTGGGACGTTGGACGTCCTTGAGGACGTCATTGACGTGATGTAGGACGCATGGGCGTCCTTCGTGGCATTTTTGCATGCTCTTTGTCGTCCTTTATTTTTACTGCAAAACTGGCTAAAATGATTCGGCGTCCTTAGGGACGTCCTTCACGTCTGGTGGGCGTCCTTGGTTTCCAACATTTTCCATCAGCATCCTTTCCAACACGAGACATGTCAATAACATCCTGGCGTCCTTGGTAGTGTCATTGATGCTTAACACACGTCCTTCGTCTTCCATGCACAGTTTGGTGATGAAAACAGCATAATCAACAGAAACGCAAAAACATGAAAGTTGTAGGAAATTTCGTCTAGTTTCCGAAACTTCTTCATGCAAGGAAATCGGAGCTCCAGATCTTGTGATATGAACAAAACATTGAATAATGTTAAAATTTCTCAGCAACAATTTCTTCATCACTTTCTAAATTCATCATTCTTCCTTGTTAGCTTCCTTTTGCTCGTTTTCTTCTAGGTTTCGCGTACTTTTAGTACTATATAATTACATGCACATAATGCTCAAAAATTCATCAAAGTAGTGGGCAATCACACAATAATTCAACATATTTAATATTGTTTATTATGTTCCTAAAATAGATCTATCACCTATGGAAACAATTGAAATAATTGTATTCTGGTGATGATGATCAAATTACTTAAATTCAAACTTCTTTGCTTTTGGAATCTAGATCTTTCAAGAAAAAGTTTGGTAAAAGCATTGATCAAGTGGTTGAAAGATACAATCAATTGTTAAGTCGATCGGTGAAGTATAATCTGAAGCATCAAGATATAGAACAAAAAGTAACCTTTCTACAAAGTCTTCGTCCCGAATGGAAGAAAATAGTTTCAAATGTGAAAGCACATGTACAATTCAAAACTTATAGATTGGCTCAAGTGGTTGGAATTCTAAAAGCGCATGAAGATGAAGTGTCTGAAGTTACAAAACTTATTGCTAATGTTGGTCCTGTGGCTCTTGTTGCAAAGGAAGATGTTCCAAAGGTGAAGAAGAAAAAAGAATAAGTTATAGTAGATTTTGATCCTGATGCAACAAATGATGTGTGGACAAGTGAAGAAAAGGCTTTGATGATGAGTAATTTGAAGAAACTATGTAAGATTTTTTTTCCAAGTTTGGGTCAAGATGTGGAAACTACAAAGGTGGCCACTCTTATTTAGACAAAAACAACAATGGTGATAATTCAAGGAATTACAAACAATCTAAAGATGAGAAGAAAGAAAAGAAGTTGTTGGGAGATTCTAGTTCTGATTGCAATTTTTGCAATGACAAAACTTATTTTGCGAAGGATTGCATTATGAAGATGAAGAGTAAGAAGAAAGAAAAGACAAAAGATGAAGCCTATTATCCAAAGAACATCGATGATCTTTGAAAAACAACCATTCAAGGAAAGGCTATCATAGTTGAAGAAGATGATAGTGATGATGTAAACATTAAAGTGTGGTCTACTGATTCGGAAGATGAAGAAGTCTGAAGATCAACTCATGGTGCATTGTTGTTTCTAATATTGTGTGTGTAGGAAAAACCGAAGAAAGATGTCTGATGGTGAAGATTTCTAGTTCCGAAGGAGCTTACTAGAGTGTTGATGTTAACATAAAGAATGACAATTTCGGTGTTTGATGAAATTGATATGATAACTTCTTTTCTCTGTTTTAGTTTTGATTTGTTTTTGGGTTTTTCTTGTTGTTGCTTCTGTTAACCATTATTGAACTTGATAACTTTCATTCATGGAAATGGATATGGTTTACTAAATAAGATTTTGTATTCTCTTTTCTATAATTGATGTCGTCGTCATCATGTTCACTGTTACACATCTAGAACCCTAATAATTTTGTGGTATATGGTTTTTTAAATCCCTAGATAATCATTTATAATTTTATTTTGTCTGTTCACTTGATGGTTTTTTATCATATATTAGCCCTGTTTGGAGTTTATATTAGTTGATTAAGATGCTTTTTGTGATAATCAATTGCGTCCATCACTAGTTCTAAGCAGTGCCTCCGACCATTTATGATTCTCAAACAAAAATTCATTTGGTAAAAGTGATAATGCTTATGTGATTATTGAGGTCAAACTTCAGAATCACGCAAGAAATGAACTTGTATTAAAACATGGGATTAGCTAAATAAACACCCTCATTTACTAGAAACACAACCTATACTAAAAAAACACCACTTAATGATTAGAAAACACTTTTCTTAGTCAAATGTCATTATATTTGTCGTAATTAACTAATGATTACTTACTTTACCTTTAATTATTAAGTATAGTATAAATGATTAATTGTTTATTTTTAGTTAATTAAGATTAATAATATATATATATATATATATATATATATATATATATATATATATATATATATATATATATGTAACGTCCCAAAAATAAGACCCAAAAATTTCATTTTGAAGCTAATAAAAACAGTATCCCACAACATCATCATTAATCTCAAAAGGATCAAATGTATCAAAACATCATAAATTATCAGAGTTATAATGAAAATGAGGAACAATATCGTGTGTGCACTGCAATCACCCCGAGCTCTTCCCCTATGCAACGGAAGTACCTGAAACATAAACTGTAAATCGTAAACACGAAGCTTAGTGAGTTTCCCCTAAATACCACATACCACACAATTCATACATATAATGGGCGCCGCCCGATGAGTGTAACGGGCCCCGCCCTAACTCGCATAACGGGCCTCGCCCACTGAGTGTAACGAGCCTCACCCTAACTCACATAACGGACACCACCCACTGAGTATAACGGGCCTCACCCTAACTCGCACAACGGGCCCTGCCCAACATACTAGCATACAAGTATAACAAGTAATAACATACAAATTATCCATCGGGCCCAACCTACTAATCATACAAACACATACGCAGGCAAGAGTAACACAGACATCTAGCACCCTAATATAACCAACAGAACCTGACGCACACCACCCCAATACAAAACCCATACCCTCCGATGAAGAGTCAACTACCCACGACTATCATAATCAAAGGAAGCCACCTGACCCATAATACGCTCACTCTTCCGATGATCTTCCTTCATAGACTCGATTTGAGCCTCCCGAATCCGCTCCAATAGCGGAGTAATCATGTTCATGTTGGATTAGGTGTCTAAGCTCATAACTATAATTGGTATGTACTTGACCCGATAGTAACATGATCCTTTTGGGTTGCCTTCACCATATCAATTTGATAGGATGAGTTTTGGAGAAAGAGGTTAATTAATGATTTACTAATATATTATAAGAATAATATATTAATTGAGAAATCATATTATTTAATTGGTATTGATCAGAAACTAATTTGGAATTAATTTAGTGATCAAAAGAGACTGATTAAAAGAACGGGGACTGATTATGTAAATCAGTGATAGTTGTAGTTTGGGCTAATGGATCCTATTGATAAGGGGTGGACGAAAATCTATGGGAAGCCCATAGAGTTTTCGTCCAAGGCCTGTCATATGGGGGTCTGTGGATTTCTTAGGGCCTAAGCAAGGGAATTAGGGTTTCCAGTTGAAAACCCTAGCAGCCTCAACTATAAAAGGAACCCCAAGGCTCCTAAAATCGGCCACTTGATTCCCTAGAAGAAACCCTGACCGAATTCTATAGCCTCCACCTCTCTCTCTTATTCATCCATTGCTAAGTGGTGTTTGTGACTCCATTAGAGGTGCATCAATTGAGGCACTAAGCTCTTGAAGGTCAAGATCAAGCAATCAACAAGAAAGGTATTCTTCTAAACCCTAATATGATTAGGTTTCGGTTTTCATGTATGCTAGATTAGGGTTCTTGCTTTGGAAAATTT